GTAAGTGGCTGACTTGTTGCTCGCCGGCGCTTCAGACGAATGCCGTTTTCATTGACATTAACCGCCCTGAGAGGGAAAATGTTCGTCTTCAAAAGGGGAATTCTAATTAGTTTTGATGTTTACAAAATCTTGAAGTGATATTTTAATCAGGTTTATAGCAGTCTCAAATTTTGTTGCTTCTGCCAGACCTCTGTTCATACTTAAAGAGAGGGTTATATGTGTTTACTTTTTAATCAACATTAGAAATATCTGTACTGCATGCTCCACGTACGGATTACACGTTTGATGATAACTAGCCGCACAATTCTCCTATAGAACACAAAACTGTCAATATAAGCGTGCACATAGACAAGAAATAGAAAAGCTGGTGGTACTCCTTGCGGCGTGTCGAGGCGGCTGCCGAGCGCTGAGGTGCCGCCGCCGCCGCCGCCGCCGCTGCCGCCGCCAGCATGACGCAACCCCACGCCGCCTTGCATGGGTCGGCGGCCTTGGTAGCGGTCGTTCAGGCGGTCGCCTCATCAGCTGATTGAAAGCTTAATAAACCGTTAGTCGCTGAATTTATGGAAAACCGTAATATAGCTTGCTGTCGCTGGGATCCGTATTTTAATCATGCGCCTCGTAATCAGTGTAAATTCTCGGATCTGCCGCTTATCTTCGCTTTCCGGGGAATTAAGAAAAAAAAAACGTGAAAAATTTCGACACTGATAGTTCTCAAGGTATCACAGGAAATATGTTTACAGTTATAAGATGTACGTATGGAACATTAAAACAGTTCTCCCTTTAATTCAAAATGTTGATAAATATAAGATTCTTGAATTTACCAGCGTATGATGTTGTAACACGTGGAACAGTCAAATAAACGGACGATTGGAAACAAAATCTCCACCTATATCTAACCAGCACTTCCACCAAAAAAAAAAACAATGACAATAGTAAAATAAACGTAATTCGTCCTATCTATTTCATTCTCCCATTTAGGACTTTGTTGGAAAACTGGTTTTAACTTTAGATTCCACTAAAATTCCTCATGAGCGCTTATCTAACCCTTCAGTTTTAGCTTCAGTCATCCCGCGAGTGTTAATTAATTGCTATCTTCTATTTGGTTAGTCTTTCCAATAAGTCACTTCCAGTAAAACCGTCATCAAAATATATCTGATCCGGGCGCCTAAAGCCTTTTGTTATTCGAAAGCGAGTTCCTTGTATTTTGTCGATTATTCCTAAAGCCTGCAAGAGTCAGTCCGGTCCATTCATGACTTCGAGCGCTGGCCAGTTCACAACTATCTGAACCGTATTCTTGTTGACAAATGTAGAAAAGGGATGAATGAAAATTAATCTCTTCACAATACAAGAGATGTATTGAAACGGTTTCGATTATCACTGACGAAGATTTAATAAAAAAAAAATTAAATGCATCTCTTATATTGCGAAGATATTCATTTTCATCCATACCTTTCCATAACCACTTAAATCACCCATTCATTCAAAGAGAAACAATCATTATTACAATCCCTTAACATTCCAACGCCCACACCCATACCCTCCCTTGACAGGAGATGGGCGTAGCCGTACGACTCTTGTTTACACTCAGATACAGAACTTGAACACAACCTACAAAATGGATAAAGTATTTTGGGAGTCGCTGGGCGTCCTGCCAACAATCCGGGGCTTGAAAAACACATCGGAAATGAGCTCCAGGCCAAGAGTTACAGCTCGTAAACACTTGAGGCTTAGTGTTCATATCTCGAGATGCCGAGGAAATGTTGCTTAACAGTTATAGCATATCCTGTTCACAAGTAGGATGGATCGTCCCCTGAAGAAATTAAAATTTGAGGATTATTTAACTCTGATTTTGAATACTCTGGGATAGCAGAGAGGAATATAATTTCAATATTTTAATAACATACCATAACATTATCACTTAAATGGGTGAAAGATACTGTCACTTTGATCATATGAATGTAATTTCAATCGCAATGGAGTATTCGATGTGTGCTGTGTGCTTACGCGGATGTATGTGTAGATAGGGGATTATAACCATAGACAAACGGAAACTCATGTCTGATAAAAGCGAGAGAAAAATATGTTATCACCATTTCCGATTAGTCTCTTTTGAAATATTAACGATTAAAACTGGTATTCAAACATCGTCGTCATCATCATCATCACCATCACATCATCATCATTAACATCATTATCATTATCTTCATCACCATCATTATATCATCATCATTATCACCATTATTCTCATCATCATCATCGTCATCACCATCATCATTATTATAATTATTAGTATTAGTAATAGTATCAGTAAAAGTATTAATATTGTCTATTGTTATTATGATTATTATCATCATTATTAGCTGTAGTAGTAGTAGTGGTAGTAGTAGTAGTAGTAGTAATAGCAGTAGCAGTTGTTTTAGTAATAGTAGTAGGAGTAGTACTAGTAGTAGTAGTAGTATCATCTTAGTCGTCATCATTATCATTATCATCGTTATTATTT